GATCCCCAGCACTATACTTATTACATGGGATGAAGTCCATACGGAAACACATACACTTCAATGCAGACAGATTATATACAGATTTCTAAGGATGCTGTTTCAGTTTCCAGTAATCAATAGTAGAAGTAGGAGCAGAAGTGGCTAACAACAACAGCAACTGGCTTCTTCCTATAGATCAAGGTGGGGAACAATGGCTGGCATAACATCCAAAGCTGATAGTAAATATTCCTCACTGTAGCATCTATCTGGGTTGTGATGTGGAGCAATGAATTGAGAAACAGCTAACAGGTGTTCAGAAGGAATGTAACCACTTCCTGGTGTGGGGAAGGGACTAAGCAGAAACTTATTCCTTTTCCATAGCAGGTAGTGGTGAGGAAAAATAAGAATAATGAACACCTTAACCATGTTTTGGTGAAGGAAAGTTACTGGATTTCTCTCAGGGCTCAGGTGGCTCAAGCTGAGAAAGAAGTCAAAGGATTATATTGGTCTCATCTGATCCTTCACTAGAATGACCTCCCCCACCCCCCTTCTTGCTACTTTCTATTTTAACACAGCTAGGTTAAATAAAGTGTCCTTTATTCAACCCAATTATCTATGTCTGATCATATTATTTATGACTGATCAGTAGCTGGTTATCTTTATCAGTAGAATGCCACATGTTACTGGGCCCTTTTATAAGTCTGTATCCCACCTTGTCATTTTTATTCTTCCCAAATCTCCACTAAGTTTGCCAGTAGAAATACTAGTCTTCAAAATGTAAAATAATATTTCAGATATGTCTTCTGCATTATCAAATGTATAATAAGGTAAAATTAATGAATTCACTAAGAAGAAGCAATAGTGTTTCAGCAGCCTTCATTTCTTCTTAACATTTTCTTGAGAGAATTGTTCTTTTGTATCAAGGACAAAAGGTGAAATTGCAATGCCTATTAACTCATGTTACCTTATTAACACAGAGAAAACTATTATGGTGAGCTCAAATATGTTGCTTTGGAGATGATTGTATACAACCATTGTTAGCATTCCATTTTCTTACTGTTTTATGTGTTCCTCGACATGTAGACTTTATTAAAGGAGTTTGGTTTTTGCAGTTTATGAATACACTTTTGGGAAAATTCTGAGCTGTTTGAATTTTTACTAGAAACATGTATAAAATCAGTGGGAAGGGCATTCTGAAACCAGTCATAAATCCAGTATTTTACAGTCTTTCTGGACTGGTCACAGGTAGCTCATAGTATGAAACTGTGCATCTGCCTAGTATTGTGAGTGGAGGTAGGATAGGAAGCACTCATTAACTACATCCCAACACATTTCAGTTCATCTCTCCAATCTGAGTTCTAGAGTTATGAGGATAGCAAATAACAATTCTACTAATTGAAGAAACCATGAAAATGAACAAAATCTGGCTACCAGTATTAAAAAATTCTAAAATTAAAACAGCAGAGAGAAAAACAGGCAGGGACATCTAATCACCTTTCAAGAAGAGTTTGCTCCAGGCATAGTCAGCCCATTGTATGCTAATCAAGGTGGTCAGTTGAAAAGATTCACACCTAGCCCAACTTACAAAAGCCTTTTGTCTCACCCTGGTCATTCCACAGATATATAAACCCCTTTTTCCCAGCTCCAGCAGACCTCACCTCTGAGGAAGCTTGCCATAGATGCAGGCGAAACGTCAGGAGAAATGCCTCTAGAACATGGCCATATAGCCCGAAAAACCCCACAAGAACTGAATTCTACTAATTCATACTGTACAAACCTGATAATTCAAAAAGACAGCTTTTTAAAGAACTTTAATTGCCCTGTAATACTCAATGTAAAAGAAACTGAAGCATTTTTTTATTTCCTGATATACCACAATACTAATAGTACAATCCCAGACAAAATCCTTCAGATGTAAATCTCAGTGAATATTGAATAATTTCTCCTAAGATTATGCTTTTCACACTCGATGCAAATGACGCTTAGGGTGCTGTGATTCTCCACATTAAAAACTATTTATTTATTGCATTGCTGTGAGTTTTTTGGACTGTATGGTCATGTTCCAATAGCATTCTCTTATTGCTTTCCCATCAGTCTGGGTCTCAAGGCAGTTTACAAATTACAAGATACAGTGAAACATTTTCATTGCACAAAAGTTAAGGATATAAACTATTAACACCTTTTAAAATAGTGAAAAACAAAACCATGATAAAGAACTTATATCAAAAACAAAAAACACAAAATACTCTTTCTCCCTGAACAGCCAGCCCTCTTAAAACATACATTTATTTACCTTTCTAAGCGTAGATCTCAAAGCCTGGGAACATCTATCATGAAGGCCCTCTCCCATGTTCCCACCAGAAGCACCAGTAACAGAGGAAAGGGCCTCAACATGGTCAAGCTTATATGGGCAGATATGATCCTTCTGATAAAATGGATATGAGTGGTAAACAGTAGGCCTGGGTAACAACGGAAAAATTTGTTTCTAAAATCGATTTGTAATTGGGGTTTTTTTTTGTTTCGATATTTAAAATAATTACAACATTTTCCCTTAAAAAAGTTCGGTATTTACGAAATTTCGAAAATATTTACGAATCGATTCGTTAAGATGGCGCCCGCGTTGGCGCATGCGCAAAGCATTTACGAAATTTCGTTATTGTATGCATCGCTAATAACGAATCGATTCGTTAAGATGGCGCACCGCGTTAGCGCATGCGCAAAGCATTTACGAAATTTCGTTATTCGTGCTAATTGCGCTGTATTATATTATATATAGCACTTTGTGTTGGCAAAAGGAGCGCACTGGTTGGAACTACACAACTAATGAGCGAGCACTGTATTATATAGCACTTTGTGTTGGCAAAAGGAGCGCACTGGTTGGAACTACACAACTAATGAGCGAGCACTGTATTATAGCACTTTGTGTTGGCAAAAGGAGCGCACTGGTTGGAACTACACAAATGAGCAAGCACTGTATTATAGCACTTTCTGTTGGCAAAAGGAGCGCACTGGTTGGAATTACACAAATGACAAACGCACACACAGCCACCGAAGACTCTTTTATTTTTTTAGAATATTTTTTGTATTTTTTTTAAGAATAAAAGACAGGTATTTTTAAAAAATATTCAGAAATGGAAAATTAACCAAAAACTGGCCCTGATGTGGACCAAACACAGCCACGAGACAGGGCAAACGAGAGCACACACCAACAGAAGAGTCTTTTCTTTTTTAGAATATTTTTTGATTTTTTTAAGAATAAAAGAAAGGTATTTTTCAAAAATATTAAAAATGGAAAATTAACAAAATGCTCTCCCCGCTGTGGAGCCAACAGCCACAAGACAGGGGGAAACACACACACACAGGCTCACAAGATTCTTTCCTTTTTTTAGAATATTTTTTGATTTTTTTTAAGAATAAAAGAAAGGTATTTTTCAAAAATATTTAAAAATGGAAACTTAACAAAATGCTCTCCCCGCTGTGGAGCCAACAGCCACAAGACAGGGGAAACACACACACACAGGCTCACAAGATTCTTTCCTTTTTTTAGAATATTTTTTGATTTTTTTTAAGAATAAAAGAAAGGTATTTTTCAAAAATATTTAAAAATGGAAAATTAACAAATTAACAAAAACCGCCCTCGCTCTCCCAACAACAGAATTAAGGAATTAAGGAATCAATGCAAGGAAATCCAGCTTAGCCAGCCAACCAAGCCAATGCAAGCCAATGCAAGCCAATGCAAGCCGCCCTCCCGGACCTCCCTTCTCCCTCGCCTCCGCAACAATGAGCAAAGCGGCCACGCGGAGCCACTTTTAAAGGGCTTCCCGGCCAATCAAAATCAGCCACGGTGCACTGCTTGGGTGCTTGGGAGCGCCGGATTGGCTCCCAGGCACCAGCATCCTCCATCCCATTTCCGAAACGGGCGGAAGCTCGTAAAAAGGATGGAGGATGGCGTTTCGTTATTGAAAAACCCTTCCGGGTTTGAAAAAATGTTTTGTATTCATTTCGTAATTGCTAAAAATAACGAATATTTAACGAATTACAAAATTAACGAACGAAACCGCCCAGGCCTAGTAAACAGCATTGTAGGTCAAAACCAGCACATTAAACAGTGGCTAGAAAAGGCTACAATCTATTCTGTGAAAGAGACTCCTTAAATCAGATGTTCATTCTATCCCGTTCAAATGCTACATTCTGGTTCCAAATATCCAATGCCTTCTATATCACCACCACCACCATCATCACTACCACAAGGACCATCATTGTTACTACCATCACCACCACCATTATAACATGCAGCAGCAATACTGGCACAGTAAACATGTATGTACATATGTATGTGAAAACTTTCCAGGATTCTAGTGTCTGAAATGTAATGTGAGATGCTGATCCCAGGAACTTTTCCTATTCACAGTCTTAAGGTAGATCTTCTGGGTTTGTAGCCAACAAAATAATTTGGCATAAGACAAGTAAAGACTATGATAATATTTCTTGATGAAGTGTAACTTTGCAATACTATAATACATTCCTGCAGAAAAAAAAAACCTATTTCTGGAACTCAATAATTTCTTCACTTTTGTAGGAAATATCTGTTCAGCAGATACTCTGTTCCACTTAAGCTCTGGCACAGAGTTTCAATTATCTTAGAGACACTGTGGATCCTATATATTTCAGAATTACTCTTTCCTTTTTCACTTCTGCTCTTCCCAGTGGCAGAATTAAGAAATTTGCAGCAGAAACATTTATAGGCTCTTTGACAGAATGACATATATTCTTAGTAAAGTTGAAATTGAGCTGCTACCTAATTATCCCTGATTATTTCACTGTCATCATATTAAATAAAATAATCCAACTTTTCAAGTGATGATTTTTCAAGAGAGGAGTCCTCCTCCATGAACACTCTGAGTATTCAACATTCACAAGGCCACAGAGCAATAGCAAAGATGGCTTTTGAAAAAGTTCAGAGAGTATAATAAAGGAAGAAACATTTCCAGCACACAAAGCAGAAAGAACAAGATTTTCACCTGGCAAAGCCGACTCCTCTACTGACACCATTTGCATCTCTTAATATTCTGGTGGAAATGACATGTCCGAAGGGTTTCAGCATATTCTCCAGCTCCTGCTCATCCATGGAAATGGGTAAGTTTGAGATGTAAAGATTTGTAGGGTCTTGTTCTTGTTGCTAAAATAAAAGAAACCACCTTATTAAATTCAACACTAACCAAACATCCTTTAGCTACATTATATTCCAGATGACATAAAGCAACAAATTTAAATCTTCAAGGACTTGGAGATCAGGTCATATGAACATTATGCATCTTTATTTCCAGGGGAATTGAAGAAGTGCTCTTAAAAGTCACTACAATTGCAACAATTTAATCCATTGAAAGGAACACTTAAAGCCTTTTTCAACAGTAGAGGCAGTCCCTTAGTTACAAACATCCAACTTACAAATGACTCACAATTAAGACGGGAGATGGGACAACAGGAAGTGAGAGAAATCTACCCCTTAGAAGGGAAATTCACTCCTGGAAGAGTTATCATGGGGAAAAAGTGTATCCCCTAAATCTTTATCTCCAATCCTTGTTTTCATAACAAGCCAGATTTTTCAAAATCCAATTATCACAGGGACAGAAAGTAGGTGAAATCTTCTAAACAGAAGCACAGACAACAAAACAAACTCCATGGGGGTGCTAACCCTTCCTTATGCTATCCAAACTATGTCTATATCTGGAATCGCAATTAAAAATGCACTTATTCTGACTTACAAACAAATTCGACTTAAGAACAAACCTACAGACTTATCTTATTCATAACTTGAAGACTGCCTGTAGTTAAAAGCACAGTTAATTGTATCCCAAGATCGAGAGTATTGTAACTACTTTATGAATAGCATATCTTCTTATCCTTTTAACAAATTTCCATTTTGAAAATTGGCATAGTGAAGTTCTGAGCAAAACAGACAAGAAAAGAGTCCATAAGGCAGAGCCCCCCCCCCTTTTGCAGAACAACACAAATAAACCACTTTTAAAAACCTTTTCAGAAAATGGAGGCAAAACAGTTGTGTGAATAAGCTATTAAAACAGTAAATTTAAAAAAAACCCTCTTGTGTACAAACAGAAATGATAAACATTAGAGATGTGCATATTTATAATTTTGCCACAATAGTTACCCTCTTCCTTTTCCCATCTCCATGTCTAGTCAATTTCCTGTTATCATTGTTGTTGTTTTTAAACAGAATGAACTCTATTCCATCCCATTCTTTATTCCCTCCCCCAATTATCTGTGCACGTCTTAAATCACATGCATTATTTGAATATTTCCCCCCTATGGATTAGAACAAACTCAAGTAGTGTTTTCTATATATTGGAAACATTCTCTATGCAATTTTCAATTATGACATCTTTTTTCCAGGTGCATCCCAAAACATTTGTCAGCATATACATTCCATGATGCTAATTGCATCCATTATGCAGATAGCATAAAAGCACAAACAGAAGTAAGCTCACTTGAACCTTAGACTGGCATAGTATTTTTCATCCATCCCATACTCTGTTCTTCCTACACATGACCACCCCCCATAGTGTATGAGTTGATTTCCAAAAGGCAGCACAACTCAATGGATACTATCCTATTAATGATCCAGGCAAGTGTACTACTTGTGCACACAGGGGCGGGTCAACCCATTACGCAACGTAAGCATTTGCAGTATAGTTGATTTTGCGCTCTTGAGGTGCTCTTGGGGGAAAATAGACCTTGACATATGCGAGTTGTAGTTACTGGGATGTATAGTTCACCTACGATCAAAGAGCATTCTGAACTCCACCAATGATGGAATTGAACCAAATATGGCACACAGAACTCCCACAATGAACAGAAAATATATATAAGTGATTGGTTGGGGGGGGGGGGATACTGTTTGCTTACCGTTGAAAATTACCCAGGGCCGCCTCTGTACAGTGCACAGCAGTTATTTTGAAATCATGCAGCTAATGGGATAGAAGCACACAGAGGAACAAAAATGCATTGCAGAGTGACAAAAGTGCAATGAATGCACAAAAGGGTACATCTTTTCCCCTCACTTCACACTATCCAATGGTTATCCAGTCACCCCATTCCTGAGCACTTGCTGCTTCATGTTGGTATTCTGTATGGAAATTAAGTAATTCTAGTGTGACATAACTCTACTGGCAGATAGTAATACTACACGGAGACTGTGTGCGTTCTTACACTACACTTTAAAGAATACATATAGAATTGGCATCCCACTTTAAATCCTGTGGCTGCCCCTGCAGAATTCTGGGGTTTATAGTTTAAGGAAATTTAAGGAAAGTTTAAAATTCTCGTCCAGAAAGTCCTTTTCCCTCTTTTATTTCCAACAATAGTATTTCACATCACTCTCAGTTAGTCTGCTTTTTCTTGGACTATTGTTTCCTTTGTTTTGTTATTGCATAGAGGAAGACTAGTGTCCAAAATATGCTGGAAAAGAAAGTAACTGACTGTTTTTAAGAAACCACAACTTTTTAAATCTAGTAAATTGTCCTTGAAATACCTCATTCCTTTAAGAACAGGAAAGGAACATAGCACTGTTTCTTCCTTTATGGTGGGGAGGCATCAGTGCTGTGTAACATAGCTAATTTTTCACACACACCCCTTCAGATATGGCATAAATATACATGGGTTATAACAGAACCTCATAACATATGGCCCTGGGGCTACATGTGACCCAAACATGGAATTAGTGGAGCCTGCAGAAGCTCTGAATCTCTAAATCTAAGGCCTCCTTTACACAGCTATATAAAATCCACATTGAACTGGATTATATGGCAGTGTGGACTCAGTGAATGCAGTTCAAAGTAGATATTGTGTATTATCTGCCTTGATAATTTGCACCTCACTCTTGCCCCTTAATTCTCTTTTCCCCTTTTCACCCATAAAGATTCTATAAATCTTTTCCTCCACTTTTTTTCTAGTTACTAAGATGTCTTCCTCATGTACTATAATTCAGAATAGGCACTCAAATGCAAGCTGAAATTATTGAAATATATTCCGTACAGGCGTGCGGCAGTCAACTGAAGAATGAAATCAAGCACAGAAAACAGACAGATAGGAGATTCAGGTTTGACTGCTTTCCAAAATGATTATTTTGTTGTTTTGCCCCATCTTCCATTTTCTTTTGGGGTGAACTTTAGGTTAAAAAGTGGGAAATAAGCCATGTGTTGATTAGACTAGTAAACACTGTCAGAATGTCAAATGCTAAAGTCAACTGAAGTACTGGAAAAGTCTATCACAGCTCAATTGTAGTTCCACCACTCTATTAATTGAAAACAATAATACTATTATACAAATTTTAATGCTCTGATTAGTTAGTAATTCAGCCAATCACAATTTAAGGGTTGGCATGCTTCATAAATACACGCAATCACTCCAGAGAAATAAGAACATGGCATAGGCAATTACCAGAATACTAAATGAATGAATTAGTATTAGACCCAAAGCAGTTCATTTGTAATACACAGACAATTGGAGATATTCTGCTTCAAAACTATCACCAAAATATAGCTATCATTCACTAAAGTTAATATTCCCAATTTTTAGTTTCCACAAATATCCAAATCCACATAGGTATTCTGCAAATTACATACTTTCAATGATCAAAAATATATTCAGCTACATATGAAAGATCTTTTCCCACAAACTTTGTGTTTACAAACTTAATTTACTTTCTACTTTTCATACATGCATAAGTTATACATTTAACATCAGTTTGTTGACTTAAATGTAATAGATGACATAAAACATAAATTAAATATAAAACCTTATGAACGATGGAGTAAGGCTTCAGGCTTACTCACTGAGAATCTCTCTTTCTCTCTCTGAATCCTTCCATCATTCTCCCTTCTCTCTTCCCTGCCCGCTCCACTGTATATCAATTCACCAATTCACTTCGTTCATTCACCATAGAAGAGCTTCTCCTTCCTTCCAAAACTATTTTCTCCCAACTGGGCAAGTTTATAAGTTTTTCCAAATATTTTGATTTTTTTTTCTCATTTTGTGATATTTTTGTGAAAAGTTTGCAATTTTTTGCACAGAGATTTCTGTAATGATTTCATCACAAGATACAATGAATTTGTGCAGGAAAAATACTGTTTCAAAAAAGTATCAAAATAACACCACCACCCCACCCCCGGCTATGGCCCTGATAAGAGGATTGATAATTCTTTTTATTACTATGCAACTAACATCATACTCTAAAGCAAATGATTGGCCATAAAATAGTCCTTATAGATACAGGGGCAGAATCTGAGAAATGAATCGTGGTAGCTAACTCCCCCCCCCCTTCTCCCACACAAAACAAACAACCTTCATGCAACAAATACCAATACTTCACTGGCAAAAAGCAAGGGTGAGGAAACAGCTTCAGATGTTCTCAGACTCCAGGTCGTACAAGCTCCACTCCCATATGAACTAGGATAATGGGAGCTAACATCTGATTTATCTCCTCTGGCAAATGACTCCCTATGAGTCACCCTTAGCCTGTTTCTTGTGGCTCTATTCAAATAAGCCATGGCTCAGAATTTAGCTGGCCATATATAGCTCATAAATACATAAGTCTTTATTTTGCTCCCAATAGAGTATGCATTGCATATTAGGCTGGTTTTCAGAATTGAGTCAATGGGATGGAAATGATGGTGGTTGCAGAATATATCTACATAATCATATTGTTGTGCTAGTCCTAGATAAACCATGAAATGTGTAAATAGAAAATTTTAAATGCACTCCTTGTAATTTGTACATCATCCGTTTTTTTTTTAAAAAAAGGAAATAAAATGAATACTACATTACAGAGAATAAATAAAATATTCAAATCAACACAAAGAATAATTCAGTTGGAAGAATGGAAATTAGATATTCCTACAAAGTAGAATAAAACAAATCAGCTGAATGAATGAATACCAGTGCAGGCATCAACAATTAAGTGGACAAATTTATGTGAAATTTAATGAACTGCAATAGGAAATAATTATGTTCTTCAAGTGACATATTTATCTCAATCTGATTATAGGAAAGAAATATTAACAAAATCTTAAACTCTCAACAAGCAAAATATTGAGACAATCTTTCTGTTGTAATAAAATGGGAAGCATAATAACTAAGGAGCCACTATGGTGTACTAATTGCCCAACACTGAATCCTTGTTCAACCAGGGAAACACATTGACATGGCTCAAAGCAGGGTACAACATAAATATTATACAAAGATAACACCAAATACATATATTAAAAACATAGAGCAAGGATTAAAACATAAATACTAATAAAATGTCACACTAATAAAATAATGAAATAATTAATAAAATAATATGAATAAAATACAATGCATTAGGAATGATAAATTGCCTCTGAAAAATGTTTGCCAATTTTTTTAAAAAAAATAGGATCTCAATTAGGCAACTAATTGAAGGCGCACACACACACAAAAGAACAACTAAGGGGCATAACATCCTCACTCTTCCCTTCTTCAGATATTCACATTTTGAAATATACATTTTTTAAAAAGACCTAAAGAAGAACAGATGCTGTCATCTGAAAATACAGCCTTATGAAAATTGCCATTGCAGGATAAAAACTTAACCTGCCATAGCCAACCTTAAGGTAACAGTGTGCATCTGTGTGCCTCCTTCAAGTGTCCTGTTGACTTATGTCTCATGACTCATGAATTCCATAGAGTTTTCTTAGGTAAGGAGCAATGAGAGGTGGTTTTACCAATTCCTTATTCCTAATTTACCTGGTATTCATTTGCAAATAATGCCCATCCAATTACTAATTAAAGATGATCCTGTTTAGCTTCCAAAATCTGTCAAGATCTGGTGACTTTAGGAAGGCCCTAAGATATCACAAACAAAAACCCATGAAAATTAAATCACATAGTGTTTAATGTATTATTTAAATGTAACTATCTCTGCAGAGTGTTACTTTGAATGACAATCCAGAAAGGGTGTCAGATATGATGTCATGGTTATCTTAGAGGGCTTAAATTAAGTGGTTTGGTTTCAGGCCTCTCAGAGGAGACAATCCTTCTATAGGAGCTTGGTCTCCTGTCTCTGCTCTCAAGTTCATGGTTCAAGTATTGTCAGGTTCTTCATCTTCTAATCTTCTTCATGCCTTTGCTTCCTTGGAGAGTTTACCTTGGAAACGTTCCTGTTTTCATGTTCATGGATTATGTTTGGAGCACTGTGGTAGATTTTGGTTTCCTTGGCTTTATATTCCTTGTCATTTTTGGATTACTGCTATTTTGTATTTTCTATTTTACTTACCCTTCTGGAATTGCCCTTTCCCCCCTTTTTATCTATTTCCTCTAATAAACATTTTTAGATAGCATTCCTGTACTCTGTTGAGATGTTGGGTGAAAAGGTGTTTCAGTGCTAGATAAAAGGACACACACACATATATATGGATCAGAATTTTTAGAGGCTCAAAATATGGCTAAACCTATAGAATTCCCATGTGTTTATTTCATTAGTACTCAGTTTATTTATTTGACTTACATTCAGCCTTTCTCCAGGAGTGGAACTCAAGCTAACAAAGCAGATTAAAAAGGAAGAAATACAAATAGGCAAAAGCAACTACAGATAAATACAACAAAAATAGTTATATGCCAAAACATGTTATATACTTAAAACACTAGTGAGTTAAATCAATTAAGGACCTCATCCCACAAGGAGGAGAAAGCATTTGGAATCATCTTTTTTGCATGGTGTTCAGCAGCGTTCCATCTTTAAAGGAACTGGAGAATTTATTCACCTCCATCAACAGCATCACCTCCTCCCATCTCTAGATGAACCAACAGCTTAACAGATTGAAGATGGAGAAATACAATACTTCCCATCCCATGCTGAATTACCCATTTTTAGATGTTTCTATGCACAGGGAGACCACTGGAGTCAATTCCTGCCCATCTTTAAAATCTCCCATTTCTATACACTTCAAAACTGGGGACACAAAGCAACCCAAGGAATGCTCTTGCAACATCTGATGGGTTTCATAGGACACCATTTTAAGTGTTTAGAAACAGAGGAAACACAGTGTCTGATGAGGTCCTTAGAAGTGCAGAAGAAATAAAGCATACATTTAAAGGCCCTTCTCTCAACAGTCATTCAATTGCTGAGAGTGGGCCTTTTGTTCACCCACAAAAATAGGAGGTATATAGAGAGGGCAGCTTACCCTCCTTTGGAAGGAAGCTCCACAGCCTGGGAAGAAACCAGTCTGTAAGCAAAGTGAAAACACAGTAAGACCCCTGTAACTAAGAAACCCATAACTGCAGTTTCACTTACCCATGGCCAGAAGGAAAATTGTCTCTCTAGGAATTTTTTAGGTCCCCTATCCCTTAAAGTTATCACTGAGTTGCACTGAAGGACCTAGCAAATGCAATTTTACGGCATGCTGAGACTGGAAGTGAGATAATTTAATGGTATTTTATCATATTCATATTTACACATAACAGTGGTCCAACCAGGAATATATGCTCCAGGGACATGGGGGTCTTACTGTATTGGGAGTGTTTGCTTAATTCTCCATAAAAGCATTTCAGATGCTCTAAGGCTCAAGCTTGGCAGTAAAAATAGATATAAGTGACTGAAACTCAGTGACCTTTCTCATTAGGGTTAGCTAGTGTTTGTGGGTTATTCACAATTCATAATCATGGTTCCACTTTAACTGTCACAACAATATTCTGTGAAATCTTGAGATGTTTTAGTTTCAGGAGGCTTTTCAGATTTAGGTAATCAGGGTGCTCTAGTCCCTCACCAATGTACAAATCCCATGTTTCCATAGAAAGCAGTTATGGCAGGAAAAAGGAATCAATTTATAGTTCGAGTATCTAGAAATCTGAAATTGAAATAGTCCAAAATTGAAAGTTGTCCACATGGGTAGTGAAAATAGTGGCACTTTTACATTCTAATGGTTCAAAATACACATACTTCCTCCCATGCACTGGATTAGTAGAAATACTGTGAATAAAATTACTTTTATACTATGTATATACATGTATATGAAACATAAAGGAATTTAATTTTTAAGCATGGGCCCCATCTCTAAGAGATCTTAGTGCATGCATGCAGTATACGCAAATACAGTTATTCTAAAATCGGGGGAGGGGAGGTTCCAAAATACAAAGCACTTCTGGTGCAAAGTATTTCAAATAAGGGATACTTAACCTGTAGCACAATTATGCAGTGTGAAAGAGCCTATGGCAACAATTAAATTAAACTCCTATTTGAATACCATTGAATGAAGAGAGCCCTTCTTATGTTCCTCCATGTAATTTCTCTCTCTCTCTCTCTATCTCTCTCTCTTTCTCTCTGTCTCTCTAAAGGAGGATGTGTGTGTGTTTGTGTGTGGGGGGTGTGTGACTGAAATTGAGAATGAATAAAATGAGTCCATGTCAAGACAGGTGTGCAGAAATCTCATGCCAGATTATGGTTGGCTGGTTGAAAACAGAGTCCAGCAAATTAATGGTATGTTAAAAACAATATTTACACTAACTGCAATGTGAGAGCATTTTAAGCACTTGGCACCGAGCACCTTGCTGTGAGAGCTGAGCTTGAGAAACTGTTAGGAACATTTGTGTAGGGGATGCAGCCAGAAATGCTGTCACTGCTGCCAGTGGGAAAGATCTGAGTCAAACCTCCAGAGCTGTGCCAAGAAACTCTTCTGGGAGCAATCAAAACTGATTCTGCCTGAAATACTCCACATGGCTGATGCTAAGACACTTTGAAACAGAAGAGGAGGGGCAGTGAGACTAACATCCAGTTATATTGTGTGTTGGAGGATAAAATGAGTTGTTGAACAATGTGCTGTCTGCTTCATTTGAGGTGGACCTTAGAAGCATTCATTTCCAGTATATTAACACTGTTCAAGATAAAACAGACCACTCATACTTTAATACATGTTTAAGAACCCCTTTCATCTCATAGGGCACATTTAAAACAGCATCCTTCTGTTAATGGGAAAACATTAGAGAAGACTATAATCATAGGAATAATATGGACAGGTCTAAAGAAGAGATTTAGACAACATGGATGTATATATTTAAGGACTATGAACTGACCATCTCAGATACAAGATCTGACAAACTAGATGACCTTGGGATGTTCTGGGGCTTGTCTACACTAGCCTTTTACCACGAACTGGAACAGAAATTGAACCCGAATTGCCAGATGACACCAGGGACTTCCCTACTCTCTCAGCCTCAGAGAAATGAAATGGCAAACCTCTTCTGAATTAATTTTGCTAAAAAACCATAGGATATGGTCACCATAAATTGAAGTCAACTCAAAAGCACAAAAACAACACTCCATCCATCTACTCTTTTATTCCTACTCCTTTTTCCCCAAACTAGGGTTCAATGCAAATATGCAAAGTGAAAGACATACAAAAATGAGTTTTAAACAGTATTAAACTAAGCACAAATTTAAAACTTTTTAAAAGGGTAGTTTAGAAAAAAAATAATGAAAGACCAACCCCTCCCCCACTTCTCCTGTAAAACAATAACTTTACAGGGCTTGCTGAAATAAGTTTTAGCTGCTAAAAGGACAACAAGGAGCCAAAAAGAAGGAGCCAAATTAGCCTCCCCAGGAAAGAAAGGTTCAGACACCGGGAGTATTCACACAGAAGGCTACTGCACTTCCACCAAACATGCTTGTGAAGGTGGAGACTAAGAAAAGTGATGGGATAGAGACTAAGCAAAGTGATGTGTCAAAAGCAAGGACCATGGACCAAATTCAGCCCACCACATCATTTTATGTGGCCCATGAGGCTTTCAATGCCAGGACAACATAGTTACAGTCTTACAATTACTAATGGCCTTTTAAAGGCAAACATAAGGCTGATGTAGCCCTTGGTAAAAATGAGTTTGCCACCTTGGGATAGATTGAAAAAAAAACATCACAATTGCTCTCTAACTCTGTTTTCTCTACCATTAGGAAAGAGGTTGGCCATAAGTGGTATTCCATATATTCTTGGCTGTAATTTTATCAGCCTTATCCAGCATAGCGGATGGTGTGGGATGGTAGAAGTTGCAATCCAAAAAGACCAAAAGGAAGAAAGTTTCAAGTTTCTGCAGTCTTCAAGCAGATTGTGCACACTTCTTAAGATGTCAATGAGAGGAGATAGGAGGACAGAAGGGGATGCCAGTGTGCCCTGTGATGCCACAAGTTTTGTAAACCTTTTATTTTCTTTCTTAAAAAAGAAAAAAAAGAAAATGTGGTTATCTTTTATAGTTAAGATAAATAAATGGCACCCTTCTGCATTACCTCATATAGTTAATGTAAATGAATTCTACTTCCCTAAAGAGATCACAGACATTCCCTTGATCTTTTACACAAAGCTGTAAAAAATCAACCACTACTTTTCGGAAGCAAAAGATTTTACAAAACCGGACTCAGATCAGGGCAGTTTTGGCACAGCAGATGCAAATATGAATACAAATAAACATCTTTGAAGTGGAAATAGTAGTCACTTGCTACATTATTTCCTAAATTAAAAGAAATCACAAACCTTAGCTTGATAAATCATTGATAACTTTTTTTAAAAAATGTTAATTTGTTTAGTTAAGTGGTTTTGAACAACCAACTGTTTCAAGGACATTTTCAGACTACAGAATTGTAGCACTGTAACTATCATGGATGTATCCTCTGTAGTAGGATCCTAACTCCCCCTTGTGGCTTCTGTGTAATGTCTAGAACATTCTCACCTGCAGATAGTGAAGTTTTAGTAAGATCTGGATAAAAAGAATCATGCCATATCAGACCAAACACCCATCTATGCCAATATTTTGTTAATATCACATTAACCAGCTGCTTATGGAAAGGTTGCATTCAGGACTGTTATGTAACCCTGCTCTTTTTGTGGGAGCAAAGATAGTGAGAACAAGCTTGAAGTAAGTCTGTGAAAGAATGTTTGTTCAAATAAACTTTGAAATAGTCTTCTTGAATATACTTCAGAATACATATTAACAAAGCAATGTGCATCAGTCTCCACTTTAGCTCCAAAACAGTAACTGTGATAACTTCTAACTTGTACATGTACTAACAGGTCCATAAGGTTTTGCATCCAATTATTTTAATCTATTTATATTTCTCTGCAGCTTGCAGTGCCATCTTCAGTCATTAGATGGCAAATTTCCCTTATCACAATGTAGTTATTATTCAAGATAATGGTGCCTATTAAAATAAGGAATTCTAATAAGAATCCAACCTGCCACAGATCAAAAGCGATTGTGACTACAGTTCAGGAAATTGTAAAATAAGCAACTGGCACCATAGAAAAGACTTCATGAAGAGCAAAAAAAATAAAAAAAAATAAAAAATAGAGCAGGAATTAACACATTCAGAGACCAGCTGAAACATCAGAGCACATATGTCCAAGACAGAAAACACAGTGTTGGAGGGCAGATGTATGGGGAAAGTGGGGAGGGGCTAGACATGCAATAGATTACAAACTAAACAAGACACAACAGTATGATAAAGTGATATTGGCAAGCTGGAACATGTCCTGAGAATGGCAACCAAGATGATAAAAGTTCTTGAAATCAAACCTAAGGTTTCAATAATCTACACAATCTAAATTGAGCAGGGATTAACTGACTTCATGGCATTCACATGATGGACAAGGCACAAACACAGCCTTGCCCTATGTTAACCAAAGTCAGAGGATGACCCAAAGCTTCCCCAAAGCTCCAAAGATCACCTGCACTTTGGGATATGTAAACAGTTGTGCTGGTCCTGATGCAGAAATGGCCACAGCTGTTTACATGGCCACCCTGCTTTTCCCAGGCTTGAAAAGCCTGGGGACAGGAGAGGGTACTTAGTATCCCCATTGTGTCCTCACCTTAGCAGTGTCCAGTGGATGCACAATTTCTGGTGATCACTGTTTGTAACATGTTTTTGTGGTAGTTGGAGCACCAGAGAAACTGGAGAAGGATCCTCCTTTCTCCTCTCCATGTCACTCTGGTACTCCAGCTAGTGTCATACCATGTGATGAGCAATTACTACCAACAAAAAGAAGAGAAACCAGAGATGGCATGATAGTTATCATAAAAGAGCTCAAGGAACGTCATATAGAAGATGGAGCAAGCTTGTTTTCTGCTGTTTCAAAGATTAGAACATGAACCAATGGATTCAAACTACAAAACAAATATTTTTGCCTAAACATCAGAAAGAACTTTTAAATTAAAGAATGTTTGATGATGGAATAGACTGCTGTAC